GCTGCACAAAGTGCAAAGGAGGGAAATCAGGAATCTAAGTAGGCTATAAATTCCAAAGATTAGCTTGCTTAATATTCCTGTCCATCAATGTATTCTGCTTTAGTTGAACTGTCCTCAACAGTTCATGAGGTGGAATGACTTTAAATAAACAAAACCTTGTCAAATGTCCAAGCCTGAGATGAGCAGTTTTCTCTCACTTAGGACATTTTTCTCATTACGAAAAGAAATATCCTAAAATCCAAATTCACAGTGGCAACTACCTGTGCAAAGCATGTGTAGTTGTTGGTAGGCTGGCTGGATCAGTATCGTGAGAAATAGCAATGGGAACAAAATCTCTTTCTCTGTGTTTGTGCTACATGCTTAATCGATTAATTCCGTTTTCTGGGTTTGCACAAGGCACTGGATTTAAATGTGAGTTGGAGAGCTTGTGATTCAGTGCGTCATGCAAACAGCCATTTTCTCGCTCTCCATAACACCATACACAGTCAAGGGCAAGTCCTTTCCAGTCACTTCCCATTCAAAGTGGGATGGGTAATTATCAGCATATTCTTGATTACTAACCTTTCAGATGTGGTAAAACTTAAATCCCCCAATTCGTTTTCATGATAGCCAGGAGATAAAATGCAATATATATATATTGCTATCTAATCCCTTTACAGTGCCAAGACAGAGAGAGACAGAGAGAGACAGGGAAACAGGGAGGGAGAGAGGGAGAGAGAGAGAGAGAGCTGAAGGAGGCCGTCCAGGCTGAAAATGGGGTGCTGGTGATGGTGGTGCGCGTGAGGCCATCCTGCGTCCCATGTTGGTTGCAGAAGCACCGCAAGCCAGTCCTTTGCTATTTCCAGGTGTGCCAGATTTAAGCACCCCATGGGCCGGATCCAGCGCAAGGGCCTTGAGTTTGACACTCCGGCTTTAAAAGGATCAGATAGCTTCTCTGGTTTCTGGAAGGGTTGGTACCTAATTATTCCAAATTCAGTACTGCAATACTTAACTTCTTGGGTTCTCTTGCAAATTTCAGGGAGCTGTATCTAAGATTGCATTTTGCTATATGGGGTTAGAAAAAACTCTGGGGAGGGTGTTCATATGAACAGCACTGGTTGGGAATTTCTTGGACCATATCAGTTCTCCCACTATTGGGTTTGCAGATAATTCCAAAACAGAGCTTAAAAATAAACAAGAGGATTTTTGTACATAAATGAGTGTTTCTCTCCCATCCAAATCTTACTGATATTTCATTTGCGTTTTTAATTTGACTATGTTGCATATAATTCCCATTAATCTCCACTTTTCATTTAAAAAATCTTGCAAGCGCAGCGGCCTGGTTCATGCTCGCAAATGATCCTAAATTTAGTCTCTCTGGGATATCTATGTTGAGATGGGAAAGATATCTGTCTGAAATCCTGGAGAGCTATTCCTACAGAGTCACGTCCTGCTAACCACAACATAAAGGTGCTTGTCCTGATTATGTCACACCATATCATTTCCACCTAAATTTGTTCTTAACTGTTCCAGTTGTGAAATTGTGTTTTCCTGTTTTCCTGACACAAGTCTTGTGTAAAATCTCTCTGATGAAGCAGCCAGAGGCTAGGACCTTCTTGGGCTCCCAAAGATTATTTTTAGCTGTTGAGTAAGGGTCTTTACTCCAGTCGCTACTATTAGTACTGCTACTATTCCTAGTGCTACTCCTACTAATCATTTTATTTTCTCCCTGAACACCAACCAGTTCTACAAACAAACTGTTTTTTGGATCTGTTTGAATCTGTTTGACAGGACTTTGTGACTTTTCCTTTAAAGCTTGCAACTCCCACAACCTTTTCCCTCACCTCCAAGCCACCCAGAGTTGTTGAGAGATGAATGGCACGCAAGTTATATTATTATTTTATATTTATAGGAAACACCTTTAAAATGCAGTGAGGGTTGTGGAAGGAGAAAGGTGCCTGGGTTTTAAATTTCCAGGAAAGCATTCATTAAAGGGTGGGAAAAAGCATTCTTCTCAAAAGTATCATTTATACCACTGATTTACTATTTTAATAACAGCTGCATCGCATAATAACAGCACAGGAAGGTGGGTGTTGCTTGGCCCCATAGGAAAGTTCCCCCATCGTTACCGAGCTCCTTCTAAAATAGATTTCACACTTTTCCTTAGTGTGGCATTCATTGGGTCAAACCAGAGCATACTTTGACAGACGATGAGAGTCTGTCAGAACTCGTCCCCAGTCCCCTGGTCCATGTTACCTAGCAATTATAGGTAGTCCTCGACTTACGACCACACTTGAGCCCAAAATTTCTGTTGCTAAGTGAGACATTTGTTAAATGAATTTTGCGCTCTCTTATGACCTTTCTTGCCAGAGTTGTTAAGTGAATCATTGCAGCTGTTAAGTTAGTCACATAGCTGTTAAGTGAATCTGGCTTTCCCCATTGACTTTGCTTGTCAGAAGGTCGCGAAAGATGATCACGTTGGTCAGGGTTCCAAGTAACACCCCCAACGATGGCCTCCAGGGCTGACACACGTGACCCCAGGACACTGCAACCGTCATAAATATGAACCAGTTGCCAAGAATCTGAATTTTGATCGCTTGACCATGGGCATGGCTGCAATGGTCGTTAAGTATGAAAAATAGCAATAGCACTTAGACTTATATACCACTTCATAGTGCTTTTACAGCCCTCTCTAAGCGGTTTACAGAGTCAGCATATTGCCCACAACAATCTGGGTCCTCGGATTTTTGGTCCTCAGACCAAAAATGGTCATAGTCACTTTTTTCCAGTGCTGTTGTAACTTTGAATGATCACAAAATGAACTGTTTAAGTTGAGGACAACCCGTGGATGATTTTTCCACTGACAGTGTCACTGTGTGGGAGGGAAGCACAGCAAAGCCAAGGAACTCGCCCAACTGCTTTCCTTAACTTGTCCCTTTTTAACTCTCTAAGGGCAGCACCAGGCTTCCGCCTTAGGGCCATGTTTGGGCACTGTGGCAGTGCAATTTACGCTTTTCATTTGGCTCAAGGATTAGTGGAAGGCACATTAACATGGCTGTGAAGAAGAGCTTCCTTCCTGTATGGCTTCAGCCAAAGAATAGTGAATGACCTCTGGCAGTTTAGTGGCTGATAGACTTTGATGAGACAAAGCAGATTGAAAAGGCGGAAGGATTAGAACTCTTATCAATGTGAGGATGTAGCTGCTATGATTACACAGAATATTTGCTTCTTTGAAATGGGGACTGCATTTTAACCAAGCAGATTTTGTTAAAACTGCTGTACAAGCTTGGATAGGTAAAATGCAATGCAAAGTTTAGAAATATTTCCCAAAATAGACATCTGTTGTCAATCAGGCTAGGTTTTTAAATCTGTCTTCAATTGTGTGGGTTCACAATTGTGTGAGCACCTAATTTGTATTTCTTTATTCACAGATGAGGCATTTAGATTTTGGAACTTTTGGACTGGTTTCTGTTGCTAAAAATAAAGTAAAATAGAATCTCCATGCCACAGGGTTTAAATAAAATGATTAGGGCTATATGCTAGGATTACACTTCCATAATGCCAGACATCATGCTTCCATGATGCCATGCAATAGGCTAAGGGATAATGCCAATTGTTGTCCAATACTTTGGGCAATTTTCTCATACTAAGTCTATTTTATGGGACTGTGGTAAAAATGGAGGAAGCTAGAAGGAGTCTGCATGTAACCTTGAGATCCTTGGAGTAGAGGTGGGATATAAATAAAATGGATCTAGAGAGCACCGTGTCTCTAAGCTATCATATTCAGGTCACTCTTAACTGTATTTGAAGCTTTATGATTTTATTATTATTTTTTTGTAGTGAATATCCAGGAACCAGATCTATTGATCCATGGAGTAGATGCAGAAAATGTTAAACTTTAGCCATACTAGACAGCTAGTCAGATAGCTATCCTTGTTCCTTTCCAAATACCATTCCAAAGGAATGGTAACAATAGATATCTGGAGGTCTGTGCTGTGTACTCACTGTTGAGGGATCTCTCTTTTCCAAGAGCATACTGTATTACATTGGTGTGTTTGTATGTCGGCATATGTAGAAAGCCTTTTTTATATGATTTTACATCAAATTTACAGGTTTACTGGTTTAGGCATCTATTTCTCAGTTGCAAGGACAATATACCAAGAAACAAAAATGTGTGTGGTGAGTGGGAGCTATGTGTTTTTGGTGCTCACATGAAAGGAACTAAAATTATATTACTACACAACAATACTACTGATTTTTTATATGAAGAATTATTTTTCGGTCTTCTGCACTGTACAGTTTTATCATTCTTTCTCTTGTCAGGGATTAAAATCGGGTTACCTTTTCAATAGAATCTTCCTTCCTTCCTTCCTTCCTTCCTTCCTTCCTTCCTTCCTTCCTTCCTTCCTCCCTCCCTCCCCCCTCCCTCCCTCCCTCCCTCCCTCCTTTATTTTGTCCAGTTCAAAGAAGCTTCTTAAATAAAGCCTTATTTTGTTCCTTATTTTAGTAGCCAGGCATATTCAGAGTCATAACAGCTGGTATTAGGATGGGATAGGATGGGAAAGTAACTAAACCACAATCCACTGATCACAGGAACTATTTAACTGATCCTTTGATATCATAATACTAGAGGACAAAGCAGTGTGACATGGGACACTTCCTCTCCCCAATGGGAGCTATGATATAGGACACCTGAAACAACAAGTACACAAAAGATTCACAGTGTCCGTCCTGGAATGTCTTATTTGGGTTGAAGTTGCTTGTCCCGGAACTGCGTTAAAGACACAAGACCAGCATATGTATGCAAGATATTCTTTTCTAAACAAAAAAAAAAAAAAAAATCAACACAGCTCTAATTGGTATACTCGCATCACAGAGGAATGTTGAAGTCAAGGGTAGGCTGGATTTTTGGCTCATAGAAACGAAGGATAGTTTATCCTTCCAAAATCTCAGAGAAATAGAATGAAAATATACCAAGCTAGTAGATAAAAGTTTGACTTCTTGCATTTAATTTCTTGCAGGCTTCCCAGACAGCTGTACCAAAGCGTGATTCACTAGTCTTTGGAGAGAAAAACAGCCGTTCATTCAGTGGCCATTTGAAATTACAACAATGCTGAGCGAATGGTAGTCACAACTGGTCCTCAACATTGCAGCCATTGCAGCGTCCCTGTGGCCACACAATCAAAATTCAGGTGCCTGGAAGTCTGCCCGCATTTTTTTTTTTTAAGCGTATGGCACGTGTTAGCCAGGGATCACCAAAGTGGCTGCCTGTGAAAGGAATTTTTTTGTGCAGTGTTATCTTACCCACGGGACGCCTGAATGCCAGTAGGCAATTGGGGGAGACTCCTTTCTTGTCTCTACATGGTTTATTTGCTCACGGGAATCAAGATGCCGAGCTGTCAACCGCAGTGGAGTGCAGGCTCAGTGTCTTACCATGTGAGCCACCATGGCCCCCTGCCCACTTTCATGTCCATAGATACACTTCATCTCCCACCCACCTTGCCACATCTCTGCCTACCCCTTTTGACTGTCCTGCACTTCTCTGCCTACCCCTACCACCCCCAACACGCCTTTGCTACCTTCTTCCTCTCACTGCTGCAAGGCATGCCTGGTCAAGTCAGCTGCCAGCCCTGCATGAGTCCTCTCTGAGGCCTTGGGGAGCCTTGCAGGGACTTGTAAAAGGGCCAGCAGCTGCTTTGACTGGATGCACCTCATCAGCAGTGGAAGGAAGAGGATGGTGAAGGTCAACTGGAGAGACTGAGGCAATAGGGGGAGTAGGGGACTAAAGAACAGGTCAAAAGAGCAGAGATGACGAGAGGGGAATGACTTTGTAACTTTGAATGGTTGCTGTATGAATGATTGTTAAGAGAGAATTACCTGAAATGAAAGAAAGCTTGGGTCAAGGAAACTTTCTTCATCTCTGTGTATTATATTATACTGTTATCTGATTGATGATTGTAAGTTTTCTTGATTTGATATCCTATATTTGTTTGATAAATAAATAAAACTCTTTTTGACCAGATCAACATGTGAAAACATGTGACCCCCCAAAGTCAAAATGCACTCAAGGTCAGTGCAACTCAGGAAGAGTTTGTAGGCTTTCCCTTTAGAACAGGGGTGTCAAACTGGCAGCCTGTGGGCCGGATGCGTCATGCATAGGTCATGTCCACCCCAGCGCTTCGCGAAGGGAAAAAAACAGGGTCAAAATCCAGCAGGTTCTGACAGGTTTATTTATTTATTTATTATTGAATTTCTATACCGCTCTTCTCCCTGAGGACTCAGGGTGGTGTACAGCCAGAATTAAAAAACATGCAGTACAAATATTAAAAAACAATTAAAAGATATATAAATTTGGCCCAATTAAAACTCACTACCAATTAAAACATTTAAAAATTTCTTCTTAAGCCAGCCCGGCTTGCTTGAAAAGATGGGTTTTAAGGGCATGACGGAAGGCACTGAGGTCTTGGATTCTCCTTATCTCTGGGGGCAGCTGATTCCAGAGGGTAGGTGCCCCCACAGAGAAGGCCCTCCCCCTGGGGGTCACCAGCCTGCACTGTTTGGCTGATGGCACCCCGAGGAGGCCCTCTCTGTGGGAGCGCACGGGTCGATGGGAGGTCGTCGGTAGCAGCAGGTGGTCTCGAAGATAGCTAGGTCCTATGCCATGGAGGTTCTGGAGAACCGGTAGTGGAAATTTTGAGTAGTTCAGAGAACCGGCAACTACCACCCCAGAGTGGGGTGGGAATGGAGATTTTGCAGTATCCTTCCCCTGCCATGCCCACCAAGCCATGCCCACCAAGCCACGCCCACAGAACCGGTAGTAAAAAAATTTGGATTTCACCACTGGAAAAAACATAACGAAACATCATGTGACAGCAACGTGACAACTGCGAGTTTGATACCCGTGCTTTAGAAGATAATCCACAGCCTCCTTGATGTGAAGCAACCTTGCCATAGAATTCTGAGAGATATGCTTGGACCGCCACAAATCAAAGAAACCTGAGAATCACTTTCAAGATTATGAAGGGTGTGTCAGTGAGTGATTTTTTGATGAGAGTCCCAGTAGTGACTATCTTCAAACTTTATATGAGACTGCCGGATGTCCATTGTCTTCCAGATAAAACATCTAAACCATTATCCCCACAGTTAAAACAATACATTCAAGTAATAAAAGCAGCATTACTAGCAGAACTCATCTAACCTCCTGGCCCAAATGCCTAAGGGAAGAGCCAGGTCCAACTGGATCTTCCCAGGAGTGTGGTGATTAGCCAAACGCATTCAATAAGGTTTTCATCCCCCAACACTTTCTCTTTATATACTATGCAGCAACTAACCAGGGGTGAAATGTAAAATTTGTTACTACCGGTTCTGTGGGCATGGCTTGGTGTGTGTGTGGGGTAATGTGACTGGATGGGCGTGGCCAACTTTAAAAAAAAAAAACTTTTCAAAGCATTTTTTCTGCAAATGCAAAAAATTGCTTTGAAAAGGCTCTGCCGATCAGGCAACACAGCTGGGATCATCACAGAGACTTTTAAAGCATTTTTTAACCACCTCTTTCCCGGAAGAGGTTGCAGAAAAAAATGCTTTAAAAGTCTCTCTGATGATCCCAGCTGAGCTGCGTGATCATCAGAGGCTTTTTTTTCGCTTTTAAAAGCATTTTTTCGGCGGACGAAGTTGTAGAAAAAATTCTTTTAAAAGTTAAAAAAAAAGCCTCTGATGATCATGCGGCTCAGCTGGGCATGGTGTGCGTGTGTGTGTGTGTGTGGGGGGCCGCAGGGATTTTTGCTACCGGTTCTCCGAACTACCTGCCGCCATCACTACCGAATCAGGCGATCCGGTCCGAACCGGGAGCATTTCACCCCTGAACCTAACCCTTATTTCAGGATCCAATTTGGGTCTGTCACTGGGACCAGAGACTTTGTCTTTTGAGCTTTCAGATTCATGCTGGAGCCCATCTTCAGGGGACTTTGCAGATTTCAGCAGAACTGAAAGGGTTTCAGAAGAGGATATTGTCCCTACCTTCAAAAAGGGGAAGAAGGAGGGACCAGGAAACTATGAACCTGTCAAGTTGATATCTACACCAGGTTAGGTGGTTACTGCTGATTTTTTTTGTAGACTTGCATTTCTAATTTTCTATTATTTCTTTTATTGATGAGGATATCCAGAAAGGATAGTGCTTTATTTTCTTCTTCACCTGTGAATTTTATTCCTTTGAAGATGTTGTTAAGAGTTTCATGTTGTTCTTTAGTTGTTCCTTTTTTATTATGACAAAGATAACAACTACATATTGAATCCATATAATTTTGGGTGAACGCATGAGAGTGCTATAGTTTCTAGAGACTTCATTAGAGTCACTGCTATGAGTCCTTAGAGTGATGATCCTATCAGTGTTCTTCTGATTTGTTGCTGTCTATCTAGGTAGTGAGGAAGAAATTGATGCGGTTCATACATCTGATTATTTTGATCTTAGTGTATTTGGTTAGGTCAGGTGTGTCGTGTAGTACTGGTGTCATGGATTATTTTGATAGTTTTGGAATTATGAATATGTAGAATGCTGTGGCATCAAATGTTGTAAGGCATATCCCCAGGTAAGAACTGGTATGGGAAGAATTACATATCATAAAATACTCCTTTCCCCAAAGATTGCTCACCATAACCAATCAACTCCCCAGGCTGCTATCTAACCTCTCCATCATTTACCTTTGTCTCTTCCTTGGCAGGTGGGGTATACAGAGCAGTGGGCTGCATAGCCCTGCAATTTTTATTTTGCAGTCATGCTTACAATGCTCAGAATTGTTATTTAGTTTTGAAGCAAGCTTTTAATTCCTACTGCTAAAGTAACAATGTACATCCATCCATCCATTCATCCATCCATCCATTCATCTATCTACACAGGCATTTGTCAATCATTCAGTCCGGTGTGGTAGGGATAATGTCTGTTGGTGCATTGGTACTGATGGGCATCTCAATGTAAATCCAGGAGTTTGATGTATTTATTGATGATGTCATTTAGTATTTAGTCCTAAATACCCACCCAGCCTCTTAGTTAGGAAGCAAGCTTAAGATAATGATTTAATCAGTCCAGTGCTTCAGAACATATATGGTAAAGTCTTTTCATCTCGCTTTCTTTTTACCCTCTGGATTTCTTTCCCAGGAACTATAGTGTCTTCAGGAAGTACAAGAGGATCGAGATGAGATGTTATAGTGGTGCTTTTTCTGTTGACATGCTTTTCTGACGAACACGTGTCATTTCCAGATTCTAAGAAAGCAGCTTCCCAGGAAGACACCTGAAACAACAACTGCCTTCACTTCACTCTATATCTTTGGTGAAAGCCACAAATCCACTCCTCTCCTTTTATATCCCTCTCATTTATCAAGTCGGTTTTGTGTTTTGCTTTGTTTTCATTCCTCTACGCCAGAACAAATCTCAGCCAGAGGCAGGTGCCAGGAAGTGCTGTAATCAGAGGAATGTGTTTCTATCTTTAGTTCTTTTAACTGCAAGGAGAATTGCTGTGTTATTTTATTTAAATAAACACAACCTTTTATTGGAAATGTGAATTAGCTTCTGTATAAAGGGGTGTGCCCTGGAGACTTGTTGCTGAGCAGTGTTCTTACTGTAGAACAGTTTCCCCAATCTGGAATCTTCCAGAAATGATTCCAACTTTTCAGCCAGAAAGGTGGCAATTGAAGAGTTTTCATGCTAATGCTTTTGGAGGTGCCAGATTGGAGACCCCATAGGGAAGAATACTCTTCAGTTCCTATTTATACTGCATCACCTCTAAGTATCTCAGGTACAAGATCACCTCATAGTTCTTGGCATTAATTAAACAGCAATACCTGCTATCCTTTTAGATCTAGTTAGAACTTCTAGGGCATACATCTTGTGTGTCCCTTCAATGTGCATAAAAAGGATGGGAGAAAAATCTCATTGCATCCTGTTGGTCAGGTATTTGGGATGGAGTCTACCAAGAAAGTCATCAGTTAAACAGAAGGTCTTTTGATTATGGTGGAGAAAATAAAGGTTCTTTAAAAAAAAAAAAGGAAGCAGGTCAAGATGGGAAGTCTCAAAAACATTCCAGAAGGAAAGAAAAAGTGGCAAAGTGTTTCTGTAAAGTTGCATGAAAAACTTCAAAGACAGCTGTCCACGAAGATACCAAGAGATTAACTTGATTCAAAGGAGACTTGAACAAAATTTTTATCTTCACAATTGAAAAGAATAAAAGGTAGAACCAAAGAAGGTAGATGATTTTGAATTGGAATGTTTTTAAAAGATTAATTGCTGAATAAGCTGGGAATTTCCTAATGGATGCTCTGTGTACATCTTCAAATCAGTTTTGACTCCTGGCAACTGTGTAGACTAGTTCTTATAGTTTTCTTGGTAAAACTTTTAGAAGTGGTTTGCCATGGCCTTCTTCCTAGACTTGAGAGAGAATGACTGGCTCAAGGTTGCCCAGCTGATTTTGTGCACCTAAGCTGGGACTAGAACTCACCAGCCTCCCAGCCTGGTGCCCTAACCTATACACCAAATTGCAATGGACGTTAGCCCTGTTATTTTTTTTCCCTTCTTCTTTCAATATCAGGATCCCAAGCAGAAATCTAGGTTTTTCTTAGCCCAAAAAGGTATTTATAGAAGGACATTAGTCTGTTAATTTCTGCCTATCTCATATACGCTTTGGAGCCCTTGCTCTGGAAATGTCACTTAATATAGTAACACTCTGGAGACTTATGGGAATATAACATCATTTCCAGCATCGCACAGAGAGATTGTCTTCATTGTTGCTGCCAACATCTTCAACTTTGTGGTGTTAGGGATACATACTTATTTTTCAAAGAGCCTCACAGAGTTTCTGTGCCTTTGACATCTGAACTTCGAGGAGACACTAAGATATTGATCAAATAAATACAACTAAGTTATAATTAGATTAATAATTGATTAATAATTAAATTATTAATAATAATAACAATAAGACATTGTCTTCCTTATTTAAGTTTAGGTTTAAACTACTTAATACAGAGAGAAGGTTGCAGCTGTGCATTCACTGGACATCAGTTCCACTGAGGGAAAAATGACTTACTTCTGTGTAACCAAGGAGCCTTGATAGTACAGTGGTCTACGCACCCTGTTATTAACACAGCTGCCTGCAATTTACTGCTGGTTCGAATCTCTCCAAGGCTCAAGGTTGACTCAGCCTTCCATCTTTTCTAAGGTAGGTGAAACGAGGACCCAGTTTGTGGGGGCAATAAGCTGACTTTGTATAAATATACAAAAGTATGAAGGCTATTGCTTAACGCATTGTAAGCCGCCCTGAGTCTCTGGAGAAGGGCGACATATAAATCAAATTAAAAAAAAAAAAAAAGGATTAGACAGGGCTTCCATGTGTTGGCACACTGAAGATAAACGCAATAGGAATGGGATTCAACTTGCATGCTAGCCAGATATCTTCTAATCAAGATATTGAGAATATTCTTCAATCCTGCCAGCATTCTGCATTTTCATTAGTTGCCAGGAAACAATATAATGTGAAGTGCTCAGTCATTCCAGATGTTGCTGGGAAAGCTTTCCTGTAATTATTATCTAATTTCCCACCTCATTCTTGCATCCTTTTCAAAAACATTCCACTGTCACTTCCTCTTCATGACTATTTTATCTCTTACTTCTGTTGCACCTTTTTATTGAGCTTGGAAACAGAGGACAGGAGTTAAAATGCAAGAGGAAGGATCCCTACTGTGAGATGTTTTCAATCTAAATTAGTCTGACAATACTCCTCTGACAACAGTAGCTGGATGACAGGTCGAGAGGATTGGGAAAGAGTGCAACAGAAACCAGAACAAAAGGGGCCTTGCTACCAGTTAAAGTTGATTTTAGATTTGGAAGAAGAGTTCATATATATTTTGTATCAACAAACCGGACAAAGTAAATCATGTCAATTTGGTGGAAGCCGCAAAATAATTAAGAGTCACAATGGCAATTTTATTCCTGGAGTAGGTGTCCTTAAAACTATTCTGCTACATTGGATGGCAATATAAAATGAGGATAGGGCTGTCTGTCTGCCAACAGATAACCATCAGCACAAAGACAGATTGGTATGGAGTAGACTTCTTTTGATAGCTTTGCTCTAAGCTGCCAGCGCTTTGAAGGGTCCTCAGAGATGGATGGGAAGGCAATGAAATTCTTTCAATACATGCAGGACATGTCACTTCTGGTATAAGGGGCAATAGGACACTAAACTAATTGCTGGGGATCATTAGCTGGACTGGAACAGAGGAGGTTGGCTTTAGGTCCCATCCAGATAATTTAAGTTTCTGACTTCTTTTCAAAAACAGCTTCATCTATTGAGTGTTTTGTAAGTAGAAAAGTGGAATAAATATACCTTAGATGATAATTCAATCAGCATAGGACACTAGATAAAGTAGTCATTTTAACAAAACAGGAAACTGTGCCCAGGGTCACTTCTCTCCAGAAAAAGTTACATCTAGCATGTTAGCCTGAGTTGTTACTAGGTATTCCTTGGTAGACGCCTTTTTGGATCTCCTTAGATGCAGAAATAACTCTAGAATAGAACTCTAGAATGATCGTGATCATTTGAGGCAGTTCAATTCCATCTGGGTCATGTTGAACCTTATACTTGAGCCAGTTTGCTCTAGTGGTTAAAGCACCAGGCTGGAAAAAGGAGGCTGTGAGTTCTAGTCCCACATATTTTTGAAAGCCAGCTGGGTGATATTGGGCCAGTCACTCTCACTCAGGCCAACTCACTTCACAGGGTTGTTGTGGGGGAAATAAGAGGAGGAAGGTATGTTGAATACGTGTGCAACTTTGAGTTATTTGTAAAAATAATAAAGGTGGAATACAATTAAATAAATAAAATTATGTTTTAATTTACTGGTCATGTTTAGCCCCATCGTGAATCTACCTGTTCAGAGATTCCATTGCCTCAACTGGAACTGTGATAAAGGTACACAGTTAGTACAATGTATTGACATTATCACATCATAAATCTCTAAATGACTTCTCCCAAGGGTGTTATGTAAATGTTGAAAAACTTTGAAATGAAGATAGAATCCAATGATACTCTGCAGTATAAATTTATAGTATAAATTTTGAAAAACGTTTTCAAAGATGCAGTTGTAGTTCCCAAGATGCTCTTTATAGTAGTGGAAAATCATCTTCCCAGCAGCAACCAGCTGCTCAATTTGAATAGCCAGAGAAGTGAAGTTCCTTCTGATTTACAGTGTATTTGGCAATGGACGACTTGGCATCAGTGAATTAATCCATTTTCTCCCTTTCATCTTCCATTAGAGTAAACCATAAACCATAATCCAGACCACATCATGGAGCAGAATGGAAGGAACATTGTCTATTGGGTCATATGAAAATTCAGTTGAGACCACATGTTAAAATGTATTTATATTATTCTTTAATAAAAGTAAGATAGTTTGCACAGCAGAAGAAAAGCAAAACAACTTTCTACTGTTCTACCAAAAGCTACAAGTGAACGATCTAATGTAGTAAGTGCAAGGCAAGAATATACTTTAGTCTTTGTAATATAATGTCTTTCAGTTGCATTAGGACCACAAGACTCAGAATTGTTAGCCAGCATGATATTCTATAATCCTAACTCATTTGAAAAATATCTGGTTGGGGAAGGGATTCATGTAATTGGAATTGTGGTGCTCAAATACTATCCTCATATGTTACACTTACATTAAGCCTATTTCACCCATGAGTGCTTAACTTTAACGAGATCAATAATCAATAAGATAATAGTACCTGTTGATATCAGGACTTTTAGTGTTTCCAGGCAAAAGGAATTGGTCAGTTATTCCATTTTCCTGGGTAAGCATAGGAAGATAAGTAACTAATAGCAGCAGTTTTGGGAGTTCCTGTTATTTATATTCTAAATATTAATATTATTAATATTCTAAATTAGGTGATGAATGTAACAAACATTTTGCACTGAAATATTATTTACAATTATTTACATGGTAGTGATACTGATAATTTTATTTTTATATATATCCCGCCTTTATTATTTTTACAAGTAATAAACTGAACATATCCAATGCACTCTTCTCTTCCTATTTTCCCCACAACAGCCTTGTGAGATATGTTGGGCTGAGAGTGAGAGACTGGCCTAGCTGGCTTTCAGCTGGCTTTCATGGCTAAGATGGGACTAGAACAGGGGTGTCAAACACAAGGCCCACGGGCCAGATTCAGCCCATGGGATGCTTAGATCTGGACCACGAGCCCACATTGGAAACAGCGAAGGATTGGCCTATGGTGCCTCTGCCAGTGAAAATAGAGCTTGGGAGGGCCATGTCCGGCCCTCCTCAGCTCTGTTTTCAGCCATGACAGACTCCTGCAGCCCTCTGCCAGCAAAAACGGAGCTCAGGGAGGCCGTGTGCAGCATGCCCAGGCTCTGGTTTCAGCCACGAAGGCTTTCTGTTTTCTGTTCTCTCCATTTTCTGTTTTCGCTGGCAGAGGGCTGCAGGAGGTCATCATGGCCGAAAACAGAGTCCGGGCAGGCCATCGCACCTGAAAACGGAGCCTTAAT